CACACACACACACACACACACACACACACACACACACACACACACACACACGAGCTTTAGTTCAAGTGCCCCCACCACCATTTCTGAGCGTGAGGATGCTGATACGGGAGACGCAGCAGCACCTTAATTAGAGCAGGACTCAGAGCCGCTCTAAATAAAGCGCTCCCCCCACCTCCTGGAGCACATGTAAATGTGCCCGTGCCAGTTGCAGCAGACAGGGTTTGCCTAGCAGTGCCTGCAACTTGCTGTTAAGGTTGCCAACTCTGACTGAAGCTATTCTGGGAGATTTTTTTTCTTCCTCCAACATGACATAATGTCATTAATTGACACTGTGAATGAGTTGAACAGTACAACCTCCTGGATTTTTTTCAATAGTCACTGGGAGATGGATGCCCACTCCAGTAGACTCCCGGCCAATCCAGAAGAGTTAGCAGCCCTACTGGCTGTGCACAGTCCTTCAGCCTCTGCTCTTCCACATGATGCCTTTGAACCCCAGCCCAGGAGCAGCTGCCTGAGCCTGTCTAGCAGGGCTGATGGGGAAGGTGTGAGCCTTCCTGGCTGCCCAGCGCTGGATGGCCTCTGGGCCAGGCTCCCTGCTTTCCTCCCTCTGCCCAGGGCACGGCCATGGGACCATTCGAGGCCTGGAGAAACCAGGCCACCTCTTCCATGCAGCCGGACCCTAGGTCCTAGGCACTGGACTTCAGCAGGGGAAGGGACCTTTCCCCTCCTGGTGCTGCTGCTGCCAAGGACAGAGCAAGCCCCTATGCCCCACTCAGGCAACTGAATAGACTCGGACCCCTTAGGCACTGTGGGTTGAGTTATGCTGGGCTGGGCAACTGCCCGCTGCTCCCCACCCCAGTCATGTTTGTGGCATTCGGCGCCTTTTACAGTGCCTGCCCCAATCCACAGCCTATGCTGCGCCAGCACGTGGCACACTGTCGCAGCTGTTCTGCTCTGCTCCGCTCTGCTCCACCCTGGCCTGGCCTGTTGGTGAAGGGATGGGTGTGCATCTGGGCTCACCCTGGCTTGTGGGAGGGAACCCAAGTGTCCAGGGGCCCTGGCCACGTTGGGTAAGAGGGAACCCAGGCATCCAGGGCCCTGGCCAGAAGGCATAATTATTGGAAAACATTATTGGCTACAATGGCCAAAAAAGCCAATAGCTGATAACGTTATTTCCCTTTTAATGGTGTTGATCCAAAAGGCACCTCTAGGTAACCTAGTTGCTCCATGAAAAGTGTTATGAGATCTTAAGTAATAACAGTGCCTCCATTTTCCATGCCATTTATAAGATGGTCCCTCCAGCTGCACAGTAGTTGGTAACATCTTCATGCTGAGGCTTTTGTTCAGAACTAACAGAGTTAATCTCTTAAAACCCAAACACCTTTTGCTGTAGAACCTGTGATTTTTCTTCTGGTTTTTCTCAAGTGGGCCAATTTAATTTGCATTTGTATGTTTTGACAGTAAAGGCTTGGGAGAAATGCCCATAAATTTTATAAGCTTTATACTTTCTGGGTGTTCATTGAATTAGTATAAATGATAAATCTCTACAACCACTGGTGCCTGCCCTTGTGTGTTTCATCTTTTTAATCTTGTTAGTGTCAACCAACAGCAGCACTGCTGGCAAGAAAACTACTTACCAGTTCCATCTCAGCATGAGTGTTGAGAGTGGAGCCTGCTCTTTGCTCCACAGACCACTAACTGCAGTCTGTTCTTTAGATTACAGGGATGACTTGTGCTTCCTGCGTCCACAACATTGAATCCAAACTAACTAAAACTAATGGCATTTTATATGCTTCAGTGGCACTTGCAACTTGCAAAGCTCATGTCCAGTTTGATCCTGAAATTATTGGACCTCGAGATATTATAAAAATTATAGAGGTAAGTTTTAACTTTTTAAAAACTTTTCAATGGAAGTATAAGGTGATGTTAAAGCAAATTTAAAATGATTGTTTTCTAAAAGGCTTCCTGACTTCGCAGCTAATATGCAACTTACCAGTACAGGTCAAAATTAGTGTTGTTGTGCTGTAGCTGTGATGGTCCAGATAATATGTAAAAAGTAGGATTTATTTGGTGATATCAGGTGACCTCAGGCAACCTGAGGGAGAAGGGTGTTTTGTGTCTGAAAGCTTGCCTAATGTCTCTCTCCACTATACAGTTAGTCCAATAAAAGGCTGGACCAAATAAATCCTGTTTCTTGCAAAATCAATAATGTATGGTCAGTAAAAGTTTCAGACTTCAAAGGGCTGTGTGGCTTCTAGGGATATTAACTGGTCAGTGTTTCTATAAAGTACCAGTATGTGATAAAAGTGTGATATATCATAGAATCATAGAAAATTAAGGTTGGAAGGGACCTCAAGAGGTCATCTTGTTCAACCCTCTGTTCAAAGCAGGACCATCCCCAACTAAATCATCCCAGCCAGGGCTTTGTCAAGCCAGGTCTTAAAAACCTCCAAGGATGGAGATTCTACTACCTTTCTAAGTAACTTGATCCAGTGCTTCACCACTCTCCTAGTGAGAGAGTTTTTCCTAATAAACCTCCCTTGCTGCAACTTGAGACCATTGCTCCTTTTTTTGTCATCTGCCACCACTGAGAACAGTCCAGCTCCATCCTTTTTGGAGCTCCGCTTCAGGTAGGTAAAGGCTGCTATCAAATACCTTTTCTATTCATAGACATTAGGGCTGGAAGGGACCTCGGAAGATCGAGTCTAGCCCCCCACCCAAAGGGCAGGAAGTCAGCTGGAGTCATAGGATCCCAGCAAGATAAGCATCCAATTTGCTTTTGAAGGTGTTCAGTGTAGGTGCTTGAACCACCTCCAATGGCAGGCTGTTCCAGACCTTGGGGGCTCAGACAGTAAAGAAATTCTTCCTTATGTCCAGCCTGAAACGGTCTTGTAGCAGTTTATGAACGTTCAACCTCGTCATCCCTTGGGGTGCTCTGGTGAACAGACGCTTCCCTAGAAACTGGTGGTCACCCCTGATAAACTTATAGGTGGTCATCAGATCACCCCTGAGCCTGCACTTTTCCAGGCTAAAGAGCCCCATGGCTCTCAGCCTGTCCTTGTAAGGTCTGCTTTCCTGACCTCTGATCATGCGCGTGGCTTTTCTCTGGACTCTCTC